AGGACACATTGGTCAATGGAGGTTTACTTTGGATCAGTAAATTCTAAAAAGATTGTAGATTCATGAGTGTTTTTTGAAAAAGGATTCACATACATAAGAAATTATTAATAAGAAAATTCATAAGAACGGGAATCAGTAAGAGGCACATCTGTGCCAGTTGGTGTCTGTGCAAATTGGTACCTGCACACAACTGCTAGTATATTGTCTTGGTCCAATTGGCATGAGCAAGTCAGTTGATCGTGGAAAATGTAACTGGTGGTTTCATAACTTTCACTTTAGCTTTTAATGTTAGTTTAGCAAATGTGTTTTTTCTCTGTTTGATGCATTTATTCTGTCCTGATTTAAATCTTATTTAAAATTCTTTTTCTCCATCTTTAAACCCTGGTAGCATCAGTTCTTTCCCTTGGATCCACTCTTGTTTTTTCTGACTGAATACACACCCCAGCTTTCCACACTCAACACCCACCCTGACTCTCTTGACTGAAGACCCATCCTGACTCTCTTGACTGAACACCTACCCTGACTCTCCTCACTCAACACCCACCCTTGTTCTCACCTCACTGAAAACTTCACCGGCTTCACCTGCTTTCCTCAGTTAAATGGACCCTTCTATGGCACGTGCCTCCAGATATTCACACCCAGGCTAGATCGGCTAATGTTTGATTCTTTTATATTTGATTCTTTCTAGTGTGCACACACTGGGAACTAGTTATTTGCATTTGTTTTTCTCCATTTTATGTGCTTAGAAACAATTTCATGTTAACTATCGTTAAAAGATGTAACTTACTAAATAAATGCCAAGTGTCTTTGGATATCATTGAGAGAATCTGAGAAGTTGATGTTAAACTAATTGGCAGCTGTGAGTAGACAGAATATAAAATTGTGCTTGCTTACAAAAAGAGTTCTTTCTACTTTACCTTTTCTTAGGTCTTTTGGTCATTTGAAAGGGAGAAAGGAACAACCTAAGAGCATTTCATTTTTTGCCTTTTTCAGGTGTCCTTATCCTGAAAATTACAAATCTGAATTGTTCCAAAATTTAAAATTTTGAGCATTGACACTATAAGCAGGAAAACCTATCCTATTGAAGTTTAGGTTTCATGAACAAAAACTTCAAAAAATATTATACATAATTACTTGGACTATTGAAGGTCTGTATGATAGATATGAAGCATAGATGAATTTCATATTTACACACCTGACTCATTCTAAAGCTTGATTATGTGTAGGTGAACAGTCCATAAGTACCTGATATCCAAAATTTCAAATAAAGAAGCCTCAGCTGTTAGCATGTAACCATTGCTTTATCAATGAAGACAATGCCTGATTTTAATCAGTCTTCAAAATACAAGGAGTTTATAGATAAAATAATTATTCAAAACTTCATTGATAGACTGCTCATAGAAAAGGTTTATAGGGGCCAGTGAGGTTGGCTGAAAGTGCTTGTCACCAACTCTGAAGACATGAGTTTGATCTCTATCTCACATGGTGGAAGGAAAGAGTGATCTCCACAGGGTCTCCTGGCTTTACATGTTCCACTCGAAATTTATAATTTTGTTTCAGCATGGTTAGGATGACTAGTATGACTTACTGAATGAAATACATCATTGTCTTTCTAGAAGGCTGATAAAGGCTAAATTAGGGTCAGTTACAAATTGGTCTCTTGTGGTTTCTGTATCACCCTTATTTATAATTCCAGCCAACACAGTACTACCATGGGGATGAATAGGAACTCCAGAGTATGGTTTTGTAAGAAATATAATGACCTTTAACCGTGTGGACCACTCCCTCATTGAAATTCTCAGCTTCTTGCACTAGCCCCATTGGCTCTGTTCTGGTTCTGGCTCTCTTCTGGTCATTTTCAGAGTATTATCCATGACTTTCTCATACTGCTTTACAGCTCCTGAAGTTGGTATGTCGAACACAGCAGAATTACAGTTTTGTTTGGCCCATGTAGTGATTTAATTTTCTTTAGAAGAAGAATTAGTTGATAGTTTAAAAACAAGGAGATTTCACTTGGACACTCTTGCTTTCACCTTTTCAAGATAAAAACTAGAAGAGTTGATGATGCCAAGCCAGGGTTTTCTTCTGGCAGCATTTGGTGGGAACCTGGTAGCAGCGATGTGCTGTAGGAAGACAGGCAATCTGCTTGGCGTCTGCTAATTTGTGTTCGTTGTCTCAGTCAGACATGCCCAGTGTCCAAGCCACTATCTTGATGTTACTGTAAACCATTCCCTCCTAAGCTGCTTATTTTGTTTTGTTTATTCCACTTAATTGGACTTCGTCTTGGCTTTATCTCAGTGCCCTATTTTCTGCTCCCTGCCCTTTATTGGCTATTTCCTTCTGATTTGTATGTTTTTAATATTTGGTAGAAAATATGTTTCTGTTTGTATGTTTTTTAAATAGATTTTTTTTGAGCGGTTCATCTGAATAGATGGTAATTAAATTGCTTCTCTGAAATATGATTTCATTGGTGAAATAACAGCACTCAGTATAAGATGGAATGTTTTTATGATGCTTTCCTGAGCTTAAGGAAAGTTGTTTATATTCTTTATCAAAGGAACTAAGACTCCTTTATTTATGACGCTATGCTGCACGTACCCGAGTAGGAATTTTAAAAATTACCTTAGCATATAGAGTGGATAATCCTGTATTTCTCCTCAGTGACTTGGTCTTAAGTTTTATGAACTGCTAATAGAGATCCTAACTTCTAACACATATGAAGTTCTTTATGTGTCATTTCTGACAGGTCTTCACTCAGATATCTAAGAAATATAATGCAGTAGTGATGGATAAAGAAGTGGATAACCAGGTGTGGTGGTATATGCCTTTAATATCAGTACTCAGGAGGCAGGCAGATCTCTGAGTTCAAGGCCAGCCTGGTCTACATGGAGAGTTCTAGACCAGTCAGGGCTACACAGTAAGACCCCATCGAAACAAAAGAGAAGAGTAAGGAGAAGGATTTTGTCCCATGGATCGCAGCAGGCAGGCAGGTACTTGATGTAGTGTACATATGTTAATGCCTGTAGTGTGCATATGTCAGCCTAAGTAGAGTTTATATCTCAATACTGTGTAAATAATAGTGGAGATCTTAATTTAATTGTGTATGTGAGATTGCACAAAAGCAAATAGAACTTTTATTGAACACTCACTTTATGCCAGGTGCTTGCGAAAGAGTTTATGGGCATGGACTTGTTCATGCGTCAGAATGCAGGGTTTGATATTTTCATCTGTTATAAAGGTGATGGGATGAGACTTGAAGAGACACTAGTTATTTGCACGGGCCACATAGTTAGTTATCAGTAAGGCACTCCATGAAAGGCAGGCCTGTGACTGTCCAAGTGCCTAACATCAAACCTTCTATTTCCATATTTTCTTAAAAAAGTGAACAAAGACAAACCGATGACATTTATTATAGGACAGAGAACTTGTACAGCAATTTTAAGTAAGTGAAGCATCTGCTAGTTTGAAAACTTCTACCCGAAGTCGTAGACCACATTTTAATCACAAAATAAGCTTGCCAAAACAAGTCAAGTAAACACATTGGTTTCTCCCATAATCTGTATTTATGAACTCCTGGTTTTTCAGGCATTTTCCTGGCTTTAAAAAATCTGTTGATTTGTCACAGGGGCCTTTGTTAAAATTAGAATTAGCCAGGTACTTTGGTATCACAGAGTTTTTGTAAGTGCACAAAGCCTTCTCTGTATTAGTGAAATAAATGGCTGTTTTCACTTTAAGGTCCTTGACATCCTAGGACATATAATTTAGCATTCTCACAGAACTTTGTACTTCTGAAGTCATTTATAATCATTAGTTAGCTATTTCCCATGCATCTCTGTGGAATAGATTTGTATTCTGTCTTGTTTTACTGATGAGAACGGAGATAGAGCCGGTTTGACTGACTTGGCACAGTTCACACAATAAGTCATTAACTCTGGTCTGGATTTACATCCAGCTTTAGCTTCTTGGTCCTGTCCTGGGTTCACAGGCTGGTGATTTAAAAAGCTGATGATTTTTCAATTTTCTTGCCAAATGGTTTGATTTCTGCTTGCTGGGAAAGCTTCTAATGCCAGCATTCCATGAGTCTCTGCAGCGGGCAGTTCAGCAACCCTCTCATTTGCAGCTGCCCACACATAGGGTGTATTTAAGATACAGGTCCAAACTCAAAAATCTGAAAAAGTGAACTCTATGTCTTTTTAAAATCCCATTTCCTAGGTTTCTACTCTATAAACCTGGACTTTCCACAGCAGCCCTCCCTTGTTGGATAGCATGGAATACCCTTTTCTTTGTACCCTATATTTTCCTATGTTTTCCATGAAAACATGGGAAAACACATACCCATGTTTTCCAATGTTCCTGCAAAAGGCCAGTGCAGTCATAGTCTTATCCACATCTTATAACCTCACTTCTCATCCCCATCTTTCTTCCATCTCTTGAATAGTGCAGAAGCCTCCCCATGGAGGGCTGAAAACAGCAGTGCTAGACTGCGCTGTGTGTTTTGAGCAGTGCCTGTGTAGTCAGTCTCTTGATGCTTTAAATTTGTGGACCCTTGTCTTTCTTTGTTCACCTAAATATTTTTTGTTTGTTTGTTTGCTTGCTTTTTATTTTTTGAGACATGCTATGTATAACAACTCTGGCTGTCCTGGAACTTGATTTGTAGACCAGGCTGTCCTGGAACTCAACAGAGATCCTCCTGCCCTCCAAATGCTGGGAATACAGGGGTGCATCAGCACTGCCACTGTCTAGCTGTTCATCTAAGCTTGATTAGCATCTATTGAGTACCTGCTCTGTCTGTTATGGTGTTAGAGATTGTCATTCAGATATGGCTTAGTATTTAATGGCAAGGGGGGGAAATAGGAAAAGAACAAAAAGTAGAAGGTATAACCTGCTAAGTGAAGTTTAAAGTCTGCTTTATGAAAGCGATTTCACTTGGGTTCCCTAGGCAAAATGAAAAGCATGAGCAAAGGGTTAAGTGTGCCTGATGCCTGTGTAAGTAGTTTGCAAAGGGCTGTAAAAGGAGTGGCCTGTTATGTACATGATGTCCACTTAAGCATTTTTAGTCAGTTAGTGAGGATATTTATTATAGATGTACAGATTTTATCATAGAAAGGTGGTTGATGCTGGGGATATAGCCCAATGGTAGAGTGTTTGCCTAGTATGTGGGAAACCTTGGGTTCAGTCCTCAACCAGAAAGAATGGAAGAAGACAGATGTGTGATACCAGTGATAGTTTTATGAGAGTGTGTAATGCTCGTTGAGAAGCTATGTGACTTTCTGTTATTAGCATTAGGAGGAGAAGCAGACAGGTGGGGCAAGACAGTGTAGGTTTGTCCTGAATCACCTTAGCAAAGCTAAGATTTTAGCACAGAATCCTGTGTAAGTTTTAGCCCAGTTCTGGCTATAAGACATTACACACACAGTTTAGAAGTCTTAAGTTACAGCTTGGAAAACAGTAGAGTTGTTGGCAGGGGTGTTATGGTTCATCTTTAGTTTTACCTTGACCAGATTTAGAACTAACATAGAGGTATACTTCTGGACATATCTGTGAGGATGTTTCTAGAGAGGGTTAATGGAGGGGCAAGGCCTGCCCTCTAGTGGGTGGCACCTTCCAAGAGTGAGTGAGGGCCCAGGAAAACACTGTCTGTCTTTATCTTCAATTCTTTCCTGCTTTAGTGTGTCTATTGCTGCTGCCACTGCCACCAGCTCCTGCCATCAGACTCCAGCTGTTTTGACCTTCTTTTGTGAACTCCATACCAGCAACTCTCCAGGGAGATTCCAGGCTTTCATTACCAGACTGGGACAGCTGAGGCATCCTCTTCCATGAACTCAGTGGCTCCGTGGCCTCTGCCTCTTCTTCTTGAAGACAATCATTTTTAGACCCGCTTGTCCCCAATGTGTAAGCCAGTCTATTGAATCCCTTTGGGTAACACGTGCACACAGCTGACTGGTTCAGTGTCTGTAGAGCAGCCTTCCTGATAAGGCATGGCGAGTACTTGCAGTTTTGCTGGCTTACTCATTGCAGTGTGTTCATGCTGAGCTTGCATTTTCTCTGACTTCTGTCAGATCTCCTTCAGCTTCTCGGGCAGGCACATTGGGCACAGAAGCAGTAGCACTCACTGGCTCCTAAATTACACAAATTCAGGTTTATACAACAAATCCCATTTTCCATATGATGCCTATTTGTTTTTTTTTGTTTTTTTTTTTTTGTTTTTTTTTTTTCTCATTTTCTGATTTTGTTGCTATAACAAAAATACCTAAGTGAGTTTTGGGAGTGGGCCTTGAATATAAGTAAAGTCTTTATATACTATTAATGGGACACTGATGCCATACTAGGAGGTGATTGGTAAAGGGTTAAAGAGGTGATGAAAATGACAAGCTAAAACAAATGTAACTTCTATTATGTAGCAGAGTTTAGTAAAGCGACTTGCATTAACAGTGAGAAATGAACATATGTCACCAACTGGATGCTCTAGCTAAGGGGCTTTTTAAGTGTTTTGTCAAAAAATGCCTTCAGGATGATAGTAAGATATGAAAGATAAGCAGGTAGAAAATTTATATACAAAGGAGCATGGCTTTGAGAGTTTGAACAATGAAACATTTCATTCCTATGTGATGATTATACCTGGTTGTCAAGTGGACTACATCTGGACTTAATTAAAACCCAAGCTGCTGGGTACACCATTAAGGGATTTTTCTTGATCGGATCATTTGAGGTGGGAAGAACCATGCCTTCTGGTGGCACCCTGTATGATATGGAAGAAAGAAGCATTGGCTTTTTACCTGCTTGTCGTTGCTCTCACTGTCAAGGGCATTCCTTCACCTGTATTAGACTCTACTACTTTTTCCTACATATACTGAAGACCAGCTAAAACATCCAGCCTCATGATGGACCGACTGAACAACTGCTGGATTCTTGGACTTTCTGTCTGGAGAAATAGCCATTGTTGGAATAGTCAGACCACAAACTGTAAGCCACTCTAATCAATCTCACATATCAATCTGTTAGTTCTGTTTCTGTAGAAAATGCTAATACACCTAGTCTCTCCAGATAGTAAATGATGCTCCAAGTAAGAAAGGTCTCCCAGATTGAGCACATTTATGAAAATGTAAAGGAAGTGTGAAGATAAGCTGAATTCAGTCCCTGAATCTTACATGGTGGAAGGAGAGAACTGGCTCCCACAAGTTGGCTTTGACCTTCCAGTGTATGCTGTGGCACTCCTCACTCTCCTACTAAATGTAATTAAAAAAACAAAAATAAAACAACAACAGCAAACTTTTAAAGGAAATCCAAGATAGAGGCTGCTTGCACATGCTGGAGGCAGCTGTGCATGTTTATCTTGTTTGGTGGAGTGTATTATAAACTTGAAAGCCCCACTGAAGTTTTTTTTAAGGATTTGTGTCAGTTTGGATAGAACTGAAACAATGAAAAAAATAAACCTTAGTGCACTGTTGGTAGGATTGTAAAAATGGTACAGCTACTACAAAACACAGTGTGGCGGTGCCTCCTAAGAGTATATGAGCTAGCACTGTATGACACAGTGATTCCACTCCTAATATATATATATGTGTGTGTGTGTGTGTGTGTGTGTATTAGTAAAATGCAAATGTCTACATTTTAATGCGTCAATTATATTTCTAAGATCCACAAAGCAGAAACAGCCCAAATGCCATTCACACAGATTCACTGATGAATAAAAAGTGATATGTAGGTATAATGGACTATTATTTACCAGCAAAAATTTAGTACTGGTATGTGCTTTTACATGGATGAGCCTTGCAAAGGTTTTTCTCAGAGGCCAGTCATACGATTTCATCTTTACATCATTTCCTATATATAATATTCAAAGAAAGCAAATATTGAAAAAATAAAATATTAGCCTGGGTTATGGTTGGTTTTCAAAATATGACCATAATTTTGTTTTTCTCACTTGCCATCAAGAAGTAGAATTTAATTTATCTCATTTGAAATGTGGGCAGACCTCAGTCACTTGCTTCTTTCTAATCAAAAGATTGTATTAGCAGTAATGGCCCATGATCTTTAAGCTAAGTCATGGAGGTAATGTTCCTACCCTACTTTCTGTCTTGAGATACTCACACTTAGAGCCAAGCCACATGTGCAAGCTGACCACCTGAAGGTCCTAGTCAACAACCAGCGTCACTTCCAAAAATAGGGGGAAGTGGGCCTTTAGGTGATTTCTGCTGGTTTAGCCTTCGTGTTGTCACAGATGTCATCAAAGGAAGGAAACATAGGCTTGCTCAAATTAAGATTGGTGAATAAAGTGTTTTACATCGTTGTGTGGTGGCTTCACAGCTACAGATAACCAGAGTAGGTTGTGGTTATACTACCGGTTACATACTATGTATGGTAGAAGAAGGGTTGAAAGTTTACATTGTTGTCTAGGTTTGTCAGGTCATTAGAAAGCAGGAACAGGTTTAAGTGGCCTCTTTTCCCTCTTTAGGTCATTAACAACTTTGCAGTGTTTTTTTGTACCATCTCCTAGGATGCTGGATATGACACACAATAGTCATTTAAGAGGTAATGGTGCCACAGATTTTTAAAAGATTCTTCCTTGTTTATGAGTACACATACATATTCATGTTCATACATGTGAGGGTATGTGTGTGTTCACACAGGAATTCGTGCGTGCGTGCGTGCGTGTGTTTGTGTGTGTGTGTGTGTGTGTGTGTGTGTGTGTGTATGCACGCAGGAATGCACGATGTAGAAGCCCAAAGTAGTTTTGGGGAGTCTTTTCTACTTTCTACCTTATTCATTGAAGTAGGGTCTACATGGCTACTTTAGCTAGCCAATTTGCCCTGGGAATTCCTAGTCTCTGCCTTCCCAGAGTTGGATTTACAGGTAAGCCACCAAACCTACCTTGTATTTAATGGGTTCTGGAGATCCAAACTTTTGTCCTTATGCTTGTGCAGCAAGTATGTTAACCAACCTGCCTTCAGCGGAAAGGCTTATACAATCATGAGAAACCACAGTATAAGTTTCCTAAGTTTGAATTTTTATTGTTTTTAACTATGTGTATATGACTGTATGTATGTGTGCATATGTGTGCATAAGTGCAGGTATACTCTGGGGTTCAGAAGAATGTGTTGGATTATATGAAGCTGAAGTTGCAGGTGGTTGAAGCTGCAGGACATGGGTGCAGGGAGCCAAACTCAGGTCTTGACCGTTGAGCCTTCTCTTTAGCCCTAAGAGTAATACTTTGTAAAGGTAAAGCCCCACAAACATTGTGTTTAAGAGTCTTAGTAGTTTTTCTTACAAACTAAGGTTGAAAGTAAAAAGGCAGTGCTTGTAAATGGTTCTTTGTATACTGACAGCTGGAAGCCACTCATGACCAGGTTTTCTTATGATAGTGACATTAGTTATGCTTTTGTTAGGTTAGTGTTCCTGTTTCAGAAGTGTGGTACCAGCTGTACTTGTGTTGGAACTTCTTGCCTCAATAGCACCTCCCATTGAGGCTTTTCCCCCCATTGTCCATATTTAACATTGTAAACTTCCTCCTACTCATTTCTTTTTCTCTTTGCTTTTTACCTATTGGAACTGTGCCCATCTACTAGAATGGATAGTTATACATAATTATGATTATTTGTTTTCTACAACTGTATTACAATTTCTTTGAGAGCAGAGACTTTTTAAAAAAAGATTTATTTATTTATCATGTATAGTGTCTGCCTGCATGTATGCCTGAAGGCCAGAGGATGGTGCCAGATCTAATTACAGATGGTTGTGAGCCACCATGTGGTTGCTGGGAATTGAACTCATGACCTCTGTTAGGACAGACAGTACTCTTAACTGCTGAGCCATGTCTCCAGCCCCAAGAGCAGGCCTTTTAACTTTCTCATTCACTTCTTTTTTGTTTATGGTTTTTCCTCTGGAGACAGTGTTTCTCTTGTGTTCAGGACAGCTCTGGCTGTCCTGGAACTAGCTCTGTAGATCAGACTGGACTTGAACTCAGAGATCTGATAGCCTCTGCCTCCCAAGTGCTGGGATTAAAGGTGTTCGTCACTGCTACCTGGCTCTCATTCACTTCTTTATAGTCAGTTCTTGCACTAGAGTTGTGTTATGAAAATTTTGAGGGCAGAGTATCATAATGTTGAAATATTTTGAAATCATGATCTAAGTTTGCAACATACTTAATCCAAGTACCTTCAATCATCCTCATATCTAGATATAGATGGGGTTTTAATGATCAAAGGTCACTGACTACAGCTTTTTCTTCTTTCTGTCATCTTATTCTTCAATTAGTGAGGATAGTGTAAAGAACTCTCTGTGTAACTGTTTCTCAGCATCCATAATTATCAACATTGTGTACATCTTGTTTCTTCCCCCACCTCCTGTGTCCCTAGATTATTTTAAAGAGTTCACCTGAAAATTACAGTATGTATTTCTAAATGTTGGTTACATGTAAAGCAAGTCCTACTGTTAATATCATACCATTTTATATACAACAGAATAAAAGATTACTATCATAATCCCCATCAATACATTTCTCTGTATTTATTGATTCCTGTTTTTATTGAAATCAAGATTCTGTCCAGGTACACAGATTTCATTTGGCTAATATTTAATTCCCATTTTCAAAACTTTTTTTTTTCTTTTTGAGACAGGGTTTCTCTGTGGCTTTGGAGGTTGTCCTGGAGCCAGCTCTTGTAGACCAGGCTGGTTTCGAACTCACAGAAATCCACCTGCCTCTGCCTCCCGAGTGCTGGGATTAAAGGTGTGTGCCACCATAGTTTCAGTTTTTAATTATGCACTTGCTGAAACTTCATTTTTTTTCCTTAAAAGAACAGTGTTTTATGTCATGACCCCTTTGACAAACCTCTATTGTCAAAAATATTTGTATCACGATTTATAACAGCAATACTACAGTTATGAGGTAGCAGTGAAAATAATTTTCTGTTTGGGAGTCACTACAAAATGAGTTATTAGAGGGTGGCAGCATCAGGAAGGTTGAGAACCACTTCTATAGAGATTCCCTGTTGTTTGAACTATGGCATGATTGCTGCACCTTAATCTAATGCTATCTCAGCCAGCTATTTCAGCCAGATGCTAGCCTGCTTCTCTAGCAGTGGCCTGGCTGCTCAGGCCTCAGCCTTGAGAGAATTCTGCCCCTGCAGGTACTGGCCCTGTCACTGACACTAAAGGTAGCCTTAGCTAACTCTCATAATTATGAAAAAGACTAGAGATTCAGAGGCTGGGGTGAAAATATGATAGCTCAGAAAGATTGAGTAGCAACTACCTGACCCTTTCTCCTTGCTGGTGTCCATGGAGGACCCTTGCATCTGTTTCTTCAAACCAGAAAAAGCTGCACCACTCCAAACGCCATCCTACTACTTCCTATGTTTCTCTATCTCTCCAGGATGCCCTCTGAAGCTCCATGATTACTTTCTGCCAACTAGTTGCTAGCTCAGCATCCCGACCCATGGTTAATTTTATTTAATTAATGCAAATGCAAACTCAGGGTTTACAGTAGTGATCTAATGTCCCCCAACACTTCCCATGTTTTTGGTTTAGCTGAATGATTCCCTGAGGAATAACTTCTGCTTGCTCTGTGTTCCTCTCTTTTCTGTAGGTGTTGGTTAGAACACAAAGCTGTGGTTAGATGCAGGTCTTTTTTTATGCATGAGTATTTCATCTGTATTCTTTGCCTCATTCCATCAGATGATTTCATCCCACATAGTGTTTTCAGTTTCAAATGGCTACATTGGCTAATGGGGTTATTAACCTTGTTCCTATCAAGCTAGCATTCAAGTATGATTTTTGAGGTGGTTCTTGATTTCATTAGAACTAGGAGAAATGATGGGTTTTCTAAGGCTTTTTTTCCATTTATTAGCTTCAATTTCTGCATGAATGAAAGCTGTGAACTGTTTGAATATATTGACAAGCAGTTTGTACTGGAATAATGTAATAAATGCTTGATTCACTTTCAGACTTAGATGATGTCCCACCCACTCCAAGTAATGATTAATGAGTTTTCTTTTTTCTTTTTTTACAAACTCCAAGGCTTCAGTGTTAGGAAATGGTTCAGTCAACTCTAGATACTACTTCCCTCCAGATATTTAGCGTTCTTCATCTCAAACTGGTGGAAGACCCCCCAAAGCTTATCCTGCCTCCTGATGTGATCTCAGTATTTGGTAATTCCCACGTGTCTGCCATAAGATACACAATTCCTGCTTGTATGCTTTCTGGCTCAACCTGCAGGGGTTATTTCCCCTCTCTAGCTAGAAAATCATCTAATACCTCCTACCTTCATCATAATGGGGAGGTGGGTGGTTTTGTTTTTATGACACAACAATTCTGCAATTAGATGGCTGGGGAGATATATAATAAGAAACTCCTCCATCATGGTCGCCTTTTCAAAAATCATGACTGAGAGATTGTTGATAAGAGCACTGAAGGGTGGTAGCAACACTAAGATCATTACTTTGAATGGGAAGAAGATGACAAAGATGCCCTCAGCACTAGAAAGGCTGCCTGCTCTGAAGACTCTAGACCTGCGAAATAATCTCATCTCCAAAGTGTGCCCAGAGCTAAGCACCTTGACTCAGGTGAGGCAGCTCAGGTCTTTTGGGGTTGAGGATGGAAAATAGATGAAAGTGATGAGTGACAGAGTAATGGCACTTTGATCTCTGGAGTCTTAGCTCTCTGGAGACAATATGGAGTGCTGTTGGAGAAGCATGAGTAGCCATTCTCGCTTGGGGCATTACACATGGCAGGAAAGATGTTGCAATTTACTCCTGTGCCCTTTGGCCCACATCTGGAATCAGAATTCAATCTTTGCTATGCTCATCTTCCTTCAGGCTGTCATCTGGAAAGACTTTGGAAGCCTGGGTCTGGTGGTCTGACTACCTTGGGGCTCACATCTGGAAGTCAGCTTTGGGGTTCCAGGCGAGACTGTGCCCATCCCCCTGCAGGGGTGATTCTGAAGTCTTTACATATGGAATTAAGACACATTTAGCATGTTGGGGAGGGAGTTACTTTTTCATTTCCTAGAACTGGCTGGAACTTTAAGTGCTGGGTTGATAGGAATAGGAAGGAAAGGAATTTCTCTCCCCTAAAACAGCCCTTAGGAGTTGGTTAATATTTTTAAAAAAGAATATCCTTCTTAAAGGGAAGCCGTTGACATGGATGGGTCCCAGATGCTTATGGTAAATGTTTCTTTCTGATAATGTCTGACTCCAGCTGCTAAAATGTTGAAGTTAAGAGAAGACAAGCCACACAGTTTTCTTTCTGTTGACTTCTTCAGAGTCACCAACACTGAAAGAATTTATAAACAACTGTTATTGCAACTTACTAAAAGAGTAGATCTGTCATCTCCATACTACCTCTTTTCCCCTTTATCAAACCATTTATCCTTGTAATCTTACCTATATCTTGTGAAGATATGGGCTAATACTCAGTGACAGTTATTGATAGTACCTTCAAAAGGTGTAGGTCTAGCTATAAGACAAGGACTCCCATTTTTCTAATGGGACAGATGAGTTTCTGTCCAAAGGAATGTAGGGTCTCACTGAAAATCATAAACTGATCTCTTTCCTGTTTGGATTTCTTTCTATTCAAATAGCTCTTCATGTTGTTATAAGAAAACCATTATAAGAAAACTTAAATAAGCTTTTGTGACACCTTCAATCCCAGTCCTCACTTTCATACATAATTACTCTCAATTTATTCTCTTTCTTGGTGTGTCCATTTTGAATATTATTCCTCAAATTCCAAAGGCAAGTTCATGCTAAGCTTAGTTTCTGCAGTTATCTTTTCAAACTTAGTATCATGACACATTTAGATCTTCCAGTAGCCACAGCCTCACTCTGCTCCCCACTGTGTAAACTGCCAATACCAACAAGTGCCGTTCACTCTGTCCTTGCTCTGGTGGCCTGTATAGCATTTACATCTTGTTCAGTTGTAACCATGATCGAGCCTTTACTTGCCTCTCAGAGAATTCTACAATGTACATTGTTAATGAGTGTCATTCAGAGAGAATCAGTTAATATATTTTTATTACCTTGGACCACCTCATGTTTTTTTTCTTTATACTTAGAAAAATTAGATCACATTTTCTTATATTGCCATATTTAGTCCTTTAATTCTTGTTGTCATGGCTTCATTTTGTTTCAAAGTGATGCTACATAATTTTCAAATGTACCTGTTCTCTGTGATATTTTTCTCTAGGAACCTCCATTTCCTTGTCCTTAATAAGCTGATTGTCCTCTAGATTTGCTGGATGCTGTCAGTCCAGGACATCCCTTATGTTATCCTGAAGTAGACTCAATTGTTTTCTATAGCCTGTATTTTCCTCCTTACTCTCCCCTCCTTAACCTTTTTTTGTCCTTTTCCATCACTTCCTCTGCTGCCTCCCATGGATTGCTGTAATTATAACCATGTGACTACACGACCAGCAAGTTATTCTTTTTCAGTATAATAAGTCTCCATATATCATCCCAGTCTGGGTATGTTGTAGCTTAGGTCCCTTGCATTTCTGAAAATGTCTGTATTATGTCTTCATATTTGAATAATGAATTGTATAGTAAAAATTCATGTTAAAAAATATACTTCCTCTGAAAAGAAACCTCCAGAGCTAGATATGATGATATTGTCTTCTTTTTGTGGTGCTTTTTTTTTAAATAATTTATTTAACTTTATTTTATGTGTATTGGTGTGAAGGTGTCAGATCCCCTGAAACTGAAGTAATAGACAGTTGTGAGCTGTCATGTGGGTGCTGGGAATTGAACCCAGTTCCTCTGAAAGAGCAGCCAGTGCTCTTAACCACTGAGCCATCTCTCCAGCCCCTTTGTGGTGCTTTTTTATTGTTTTCATATTCTTCTATTAGGAGAGAACCCATGTTTTGACTTTTGTTACTCCCTTCAATTTCTTCCAGTAGGGAACTGGCTTAGCTTAGTGTTTTAAGAATCCATACTGTGCTGAAGTCAACTGACTTGACCCTAGGTTCTTGTGGTCTGTCTTTAGAGTGATTTCTATGTATTTCAGGCTAATGGCTTTATGTAGTTTTGCTGTTCCATAAAGTAGTGATGTTTCTTACATAAGCGTTCAAGCGAGGTTAGAAAATAAACAAAATCTATGTCTCCTTTCTAAGAGGAGTGATAGATGCAAGCAAACTGTGCAAGAAACTTTCAGAGAATGTGTAGAGATGACCAGTTTAAAAATACTGTTAACTTATTCCCACAGTTGTTATTAGAAAGGACAGATGAAAGTGAGGGAAGAGTGAAGGGAGAGAGGAGAGAAGAGTGAGAAGCAGGGAAGGGAGAGGAGAGTGGAGGGAAAGGAAGGAAGGAAGGGAATGTAGGGCAGGACAGGAAGGAAGCAGGGAGGGAGACAGTAAAGGAGAGAGAGGCAGAGACAAAGCCCCGAACCTGGTGTGAGTTTGGGCTATTGTTGGACCATTATCAGTCAAAAGTAAAGCATTTGGTCTCTGGTGATCACCGATCTAAATGTATTAATGATGATTATCCAGAGATTTGCACACTTGTTTGGAAATGAAGGAACACTGCAAAGGGAATACTTATGCCATAGTAAACTACTCAAAAAGGTTGAGGCAAGGGGAAGTAGCTTTTTTTTTTTTTTTTTTTTGCTTTTGCTTTTGAAGTTATCCCATTTCTCTTCTTTCCTCCCTCTAAACCCTCTCATATTACTTGCCGTGATCTCTTTCAAATCCATGACATCTTTTTTTATTCATTACATGCTTGTATGTATATATGTATACATATATATTCCTAAATAAAATTTCCAGCAAAATAAGGAAGATGCAAATTATTGTGATAAAATAATCCTTGGCTTAACAAAAAGGAACAAAAATGTTTGGTGCCCATCAAATTTGAGCCAGTTACTGAACAGATGTTCTTGGAGAAATATTGTTGATGTAAAGTTGTTAATGGCTTTTTTTGTGGTTATAGTAGAATTCTCTGTTTTAAGTAAACATGCATTTACTTACTGTATAATCCTGTACTGTATAATCTATCTAGTAAAGGTTCTGAGTAGACAATTCTCAAAAGACATACACAGAGCTATGCATGTCTATGAGAATGTGTTGAATATTAACTATAGTCAGGGAAATGCAAACCAAAGCCAAAATGAGATGTCATTCACATATGTTAGAATGAATATAGTTAAGTGAAATGTGACAAGTGTTGGTGAGGATATGAAGAAAAGGGCATCTTGTATATAATGGGACTCTTATTTTGTATAGTCATTGTTGAAAGCATGATAAATCCTCAAGAAATGAAAACTTGAAGTATCTTGTTACCCAGCAGTCCTACTCTGGGTCCATGTACAGAAGGAATGGTATGAATGATGAGAAGAGACATCCGTGGGGCATGTTTATTGTGGCATTATTCGTGGCATCCAAAACACAAAAGCATCTGAAGTTTCTATCAATGTATGAATAAAGAAAAGGTGTGTATGTATTTACAACAAAAAGCCATTCAGCCTTAGAAAGGAAGGAGTCCTGCTACTTTGATAGTAAATGAACCCCGTAGACATATTCAGTGAAATGAGTGGACATCAAAAGATGTGGTACATAATAACCAGATGTTATATAATTCTAGCACTTGGGAACTATAGAGGTAGGAGGATCCACTCTCTGAAACAGTCAGTTCTAAACCAGCCTGAGATATGGATGGATGGATAGATAGATAGATAGATAGATGCATAGATAGATACATAGATAGAACCACCACGTCTTTCCTAAAACAACTTCCACCCTAAACTCCAGTCCATATGATGCATAAATTACTTTTTATGACATCTGAAAATGTTAAACTCATGGAGATAGATGTGGAATGGTAGTTAAATGGGTTTTAGGGGGAAGAGATAATAGGAAGTAGATCAAAGGGGGCAAAAATGTTATATAATACAAACAAGTTCTAGAGATTGAACATGCAATAATGTACCTGTAGTTAGTATTATATATTTGAGACCTAAGAACAGATCTA